GCGGGTCCCGGGACAGCTGGCGGCGCGCCAGGGAGTCCAGCTGCTCGCGGGAGGAGTAGCGGCTGGCGGGCTGCGACAGGCTGCCCGTGCCCGAGTACATGCGGCCGTAGGAGGCAGCGGGCACGGCGCGGTGGCCCAGCGTGGAGGTGCGGTACCAGGAGAGCTCGCTGGGCACGCGGCCCACCGCCGACAGGCCCTGCAGGGCAGGGGGGCACTGCAGGCGGTTCTTCAGGATGCCTGGGAGGCGCGGGAGAGAGAGAGAAGGGCTGGTTACTTCCCGGCCGCGGCGGTCTGGCGGCGGAGGGAGACAGGCAGGCGGGCTCTCACCCTTGCGGTGCCGGCGGGGCTGGGTCAGGCTGTTCTCGTCGCCGCTGGTCAGCGCCGGCTCGGGCTGGTGGTTGTTGTTGGCCGCGTCCTTGCTGTAGTCGGCGCCCAGCCGGCGCTCGGAGCCCCACTTCTGCAGGGCGCGCACCTCGCACTCGCCCAGCGCCGGCCAGTAGGAGAGCAGGTCGTTGCCGTCCAGCTCTGCCGGGGGCACGGGCAGCCGGACACGGGGACACAGGGGACACAGGGGACACGGACAGAAGGAATTGAAGATACAGGAACAGGCAGGGGCAAGGACACACCATCCACCCATCTTCCAACAGCTGCATCCAGTCCAGGGGCGCAGGGGAGCCAGAGCCTATCCCAGCAAGCAACAGGCACAAGGTGGACGGGACACCAGTCCACCCCAGGGCACACACACACACACACACACTCCGGTTTTCCCCAGAAGCCAATTAACACACCAGCATGTCTTTGCGCTGTGGGAGGAAGCCCGTGCAAACATAGGGTGACCACGCAAACTCCACACAGACAGCACCCCCAGGTCCAGAATTGAACCCGGGGCCCAAGGACACAACACCTTCCAATTTTAAAACGAACCCGAGTGTGATTGTAAGTGTTGACTGTCTTGTTTGACTCAAGAGTGTGAACGAAGGATGGATGATATGAGGGCATTGACAGCTGACATGGGTGGTAAGAGCTATGTAATTAATACATTAGATCATTTATTTAACAGAAACGTTCAATAGGCAGGAGTGGGTGGGGTTATGACAAGGACTCCACCAATAGAAACAGCTAGATACTTATCCGATGACAAAGCTTGTGGACCAATGAGATATGAGCGGGGGGGTGGAGACTGAAATTTCTCAAAGCGGTGGACCAATCAGATTCCAGTGGGCGGGGCGTCCAGTGGTGGCTGGCGAATGGAAGGGAGGAAGCAGGGAGGAGTCACCTTTGGCTGCGCTAGGGACGGGCTCTGTGAGCAGGCGCTCGCTGTGATTGGTGCGCTTGAACCGGCGCTGGATCCGCCCCCGGAGACGGACGTTGTCCTCGCTTTCGGAGGAGGGGATGGACAGGCTGCGCTCCTCCTCCAGGGAGAGGTCCGAGTCGGAGTCGGAGTCGTCGCCTGGGACAGGGGGGGGCGGAGAGAG